TGTTGTTCACATTGGACATCAACGTAAATTCCAACGAAAGTTATGCCACCATGTTTGCGGATTGGTTATCTATCTGAATTATATGTTTAGTCTGCTTGCTTATCAGTATTTCAAGTTGAAATCGACCGACGAACTGCCATCCTTAAAAACGATTGTACCCGAGATTATCCCTTGGTGGGTTCTATTTACGGTCTAAATGGGATAGTGTACTCATGAGTAATATCCCCCATTCTATCATTCACAGCCTGCGTTCTGTCTAGTCCATTGCTTTCTGACCATAATTGCGTGTAGCCTGTTACTTTCGCGCAACTCAATGTTCACTTATCTGACGGTTAGTGTCCCACGTTGACGCTGGTTATTTTTCTCGCGTTAACATTGATTCGCAATTGTGTAACATCAAACACAACCGTTGAATCTTCGTATCATGGATACTCATGATTCTGACGGTCGCTGGTCTGTTTTCTCCAGCTGCAGACCTCACCGATGGTTATCGGTATATTTTCCTATTGTTTGCCTACCCGTATTCTCAATTTAAGATTCTGGAGTGTCATCCCAGGAGCTCCAAGGTTGTCAGACCAAGGGTCATTAGTAAAGCCTGATGCTAATGGCAATTCAACGTCGGACAATTGCTCAGCCGATGGATAGTATATTATTCACCCCGTTTGTACCTCATGTTCGAAATACCAATTACCAATCCGCAAACATGGTGGCATAACTTTCGTTGGAATTTACGTTGATGTCCAATGTGAACAACAATATAAACGCAATGTGGACGGGAATTACAAATTCGTTCATACCTCCAAAACCACACCAGATTGAGCTTTTCTTTAAACCGGGAGTATGTATTCCAACGTGAGAATTCCAATTGGAACATTTTCAGAACATGAAGTCGATTATGGAGGCTAACATGGGGCCTTTATCAAAAGAGAAAGCGACATTTTTCTTAAAGAGCGCGAATATGAACAATTTTTAGGTGTAGCCGGGTTCTCTTGTTGCAACACAATTATTATACTCGATAAAGTCTATAAATTTGCCATGATCTATGTGTTTGAATACTTGGCGGAATATTTGGAAAGTCCCTTTCCGCACGTAAATGGCCGTTTCTAACCAGTCTTGACCCCGAAACACCGTATCGGCTAGCTGCAAAATGACCAAACGTAACGCTTGCGATCAAGATGAGGATTGAGGAATGTTTGGCGGATAGGTCCTCTTTGTTGTATCACGGATGGAATTGTTGAGAAGGTTCCGTGTTCAGCCGCGTTGGCGCCTGGATGTTCGAAGAACAATTATTGCGCGTCCCTGAATAAATCCCGCGGTACGCAAAAGAACCATCTCCACCATAGTTTAATGTGACATGGGTGTGTGACATTGCGATGGGTGCGCCCGCGAATGCACTGGCCCTTTGGGAGTCCGAAGTTATTAGCTTACTCATGGTACACCGTCGTTTGTGAAACAACGGGTCTGTTAATATCAAGTTAGGTGTGACAGTTTTATTCATTTTTTCTTCTCGCTCAAATCAACTAACGAACACTGCTGTTTGGAACTCCTCCGCTCTCATTTCCAGTAACCTGGTTGTCTATGTGCTTATATTCTTTTTCTTCTTTAGCAATGTTGATGCAATTTATGACGAATGTTCTGCTTTTTTCTTGCAGCCTAACCTTGCACTTGGGTTTCAGTCCATATCCTCTCTAGAGTGCACTAACATATACTTCCGTAATAGAATGTTTCTTACGTCATATTTTCAATATTTTTCCCCAGCATAAATCTTACTACAGCGGTCTTTATCTGTTTAATTCTCGAGAGATATGGGTTTCGTTTTAGAGCTAGCCTATGAAGTGGCTGATTAATGTTGGCCTGCTGGACACAGAGGCCTCACTCACCCAACCCCTGGTCGTGGTCCTTCTGGTTTACACTGGATACCTTTTGTGTGGGTGGAACCGCAAGACGTCCACAACGGGTTATTTTAGTGGCGGCGGAGCGCAGGCCTCTGTCCTGTGGCCGAATGGATAAGGCGTCTGACTTCGGATCAGGAGATTGTAGGTTCAAGTCTTGTCAGGTTAGTTACGGCTCCTAAGAGCTGTGCTACACCCTGCTTTCAATGACGGTCCTTCAGTACAACAGACGCTTGCTTGACGCTGAGCAAGAAAAACCGATTGGATCCGAGAACCTTGAGCCTCCGCCTCAAACCCGTATGTCACTCGCTGGGCCTCTGAATCGCCAAAAGACGTCCTTCGGCTTCGAACACTGTGATTGGCATATGCGAACCGAATGTCAATAAACACGATGGTATGAACCGTTTAAAATACGACGACCGTCCGAGATCGTTCAACGTAACTGCGTTTGAACGGAGGACGATGACCTACCGAAGTGCACAAAAATGCCCACTATGCTGGCTTGTCTGCTAATGATGTGTCCAGGCCGAGGCTCAAAGGCGGATAGAATCACAACCGAGAAAACGTGGTCACGGCTTGCTGTACGCTCCTTAAGTTATTGAATCACCAGGTTGACAAGTCGCGGTGAAGTGGATCAAACGTTACATACATTTCGGGTCTGAATACAAAATCAAAATGTGATAAAAAAATAGACACATCTGGCTCACAGTAGTTCGTGAAGGTGCGTTCTTTGGAGTTCCATCACACGGAATAGAGTATTCGATTGGTGCGATCTATCGTATAGTTCCTAAATAACTTTGGAGGTCATAACAAAGATAGCTCCGACGACAGGTAAGTCTGGAAATGTGCCGAAATAAATGCAGATTCCGTTAGACGTTAACTCTCCCAAAATCCGTGCACACGTGACAATGAACGCAGAGAGAGAACACAGGACTTGTGACCTTGGATGCGTAATTTTTATTGTTAATCGATTAGACCCACATGATTTAAACGAGTGTACATGTGAATTTGAGGAGGGGGAAAATGTGAAAAATAATTAGAATTATGTAGTACAAAATGCTGTGCAAACGCTACAGAACCCTCCTAGAATGTTAGTTAGGTTATAATAACGCTCGAAAAGAAGATGAATAACATTACTCTGAGAAGTGTGCAAAACGGTGATAGGCGGAAGTGTCCACAGCAGAGAGGTGCTGCAAGTCGCGGACCAGCGTGGATGTGATCTGGGAGCCGCGGTCAGTAATGCTAGATGCAGATACGCCGGAGGGGGATAACCAAGTTCCCACAAAAGTCCAAGCGATTTTCTTTGCTGAGATGGCGCGTATGGGCATTGCTTGAAGCCATTGTGCGAAACGATCGATGCAGGTCAACAAATGTGTAAAGCCTCCCGAAGGTGGAAGTGGGCCTACAGTGTCAATGTGGATGTGTTTGAAGCGGGCTTCCGGTACACTGAAAGTTCCAGGTGTGGTGATGGTACGGCGGTTCGCTCTACTTCGCTGACAGAATAGACAATGCCTGGCCCATTCACGTAGATCTTTGCGCATGTTTGGCCAAACAAAACGGTCGGTGATTGGATTGACGGTAGAACGCATGGGTGATAGAATGAAGATGACTGAAAACGTTTTGGCGGCAGTTACGGAGGACATAAGGTCGAGGTTTATCGGACGGTATGTCACAGTGCAAGTTGGAGTCGCAGTGCAGGAGTGGTAGTTGAACGACTTCCAGGGACTTGTGAACTCGGTTGACTGACTTCTTCATCGTTTCATTGTGCCGCTGCTATGGCTTGTAAATCAATGGGAAATGTGGATAAGTGATGAATGTGTGCGCGAGAAAAAGCATCTGCGACTAGGTTGCCAGAACCATCTATGCAACGGATGTCCGTCGTGAACTGGGAGAGAAAGTCCAAGTGGCGGGTTTCTTTCGGGGAATATCTGCCTGGAGAAGTGTTGAAAGCATGTGTTAACGGCTGGTGATCAGTAAGAACGGTAAACTGACGTCTTTCGAACACTTGTTGAAAATGCTTGACGATAAGGTAGATAGCTAGCAATTCTCCACTGAAAGTGCTGTATCTCGTTTGAGCAGGCTGTAGCCCTCGGGAGAAAGTGGATAACGGTCGGAATTCGTTGCCATCGGCTTGCTGCAAGACGGCGCCAACAGCAGATTGAGATGCGTCGGTCTTTAGAACCAACCGTGCATGTTTATCAGTACTCAGATAGCCGAGAGGTGTGGCGTTTGCTGGAGCCCGCATAACAGATGTGAAAGCGGCGGTGGCTTCTGGAGTGAAGACGAACATTTTGGGGCTGTTCATCAGCAAGTCTCTCAGTGGTTCGAGCATGTCAGAGCAAATGGGTATGAAGCGACAATAGTAAATGGCAATCCCCAAAAATCGACGGAGGCTTTTGATAGGCTAAGGCAACGGATAATTCGAAATGGTGTCGGCTTTCCCCGGCAGTGGTTTGATGCCGTTTTCATCGATGCGATGACAGAGAAAGTCAATGGAAGAGGCACCGAAAACGCGTTTGGTTGTATTGATGATGACGCCGTAGTGGTTCAAACGTTCGAATACATATTTCAAGTGGGACAGATGCTCTTGAGCACTACTGCTAGCAACCAGTACGTCATCAATGTAGACAAACACAAAGTCTGGTCCGCGTAGAACTTGGTCGATGAAACGTTGAAAGTTTTGGACGGCGTTCCTGAGGCCAGCGGGCATACGAACAAATTCAAATGGGCCCAATGGGGTTGTGATCGCCGTTGTAGCGATGTCAACTGGAGCCGACGAAATTTGATGATATTCACTTGTTAGGGCGCTCACTCTGTTACCGTCCCAAAGCGCTCCCGCCGTGAGAAAGAAAAAACGATTGACTTTGTTCTAGTTAGCTGACCTGCTCAAAGCGGCCGAGACGTGACCTTGGCTATTTTCTACCTCTCTGACTTTGTAATGCGCTATGCTCATTAGTGACCCTAACATTTTCCCGGTAAATGTCCTTCTCTCTTCATGATTGGGGAATGGTTTTATGGCCAATGCGCACCCTGTAAGTACTTCATCCTTGTCGCCTTGGTCGAGCACGTTTTGGAGCGGAACAAGGCTCTTTTTTCGTGTGCGTCTTTTGGCTTGCCTTGGGAGCAAATACGGGGAGAGTCGCAATACTTTCCGGAACCGAGACCTTCGCGTTAATTAGCGCCGGGACGAAAAACCGAATTCTGCCAAGCGCACTACGATAGCAAGGACGAACCAGCGTACCGTGTAGGAGGGTTTACAACAGCTTTAACGGGATCTATTTTGGAAAAGATCTCTTTCCCCGATAAGCCAATATAAAAATCATGAATGTACGGAATGGGGTAACGATCCGTCACGGTGGCGTTGTTCAGCACTCGGTAGTCACCGCATGGTTTCCAATCTTCCGCCCTCTTCTTGGGGACTATGTCTGAAGGCGATGACCACAGGCTATTCGAAGGACAGATGATTCCAAGAGACAGCATTTCCGTAAACTCCGCTTTGGCGATCGTTAGCTTCTCAGGAGGCAGTCGGCGTGGACGCGCGAATCTGGGTGGTTCTTTAATGACAATGTGATGAACAACATCATGCTTCGGCGCGGCTGAATTAGGTGCGGGTTGGTAAATTCCGGGGAATTGTTTCAACAGCACTGTACGCTGGCTGACTTCTGGCAAAGCCGTTCGAAGTCCGATCGAATTGATGGTTGCGGTTCCACCTTGAACGCACAAAGTAGCGGTGCTGTCTACCAGGTTCCATCGGCCGAGGTCAACAGCCAAACCGTACTTTGTGAAAAAATCGACGCCGATGATTGAGTGTTGAATGTCGGCAATGATAAAAATCCCAGGGAAGCTCCGGTGTAGTCCGAGGTCGGCCGTCAAGAGATGTTGGCTGTGGGTCGCGATTTCGGAATTGTTAGCCGTCTGTAGCATGTACTCCGCGGGTTTTAGACCGCGTTTGAATTTACCTGGATGTATAACGCCGACCTTTGAACCGGTGGCGATGAGAAAGCGAAGCCCAGTAGAGTTGTCGTGCACATAAAACAGGCGACTGTTGATCTGGCCGGCGGCAGCCGTCGACAATGCTGGCTGGCTGAGTCGATTCCCTGATTTGCATCTCCCTTAGGGAGCGGACTGGCGTATGCATGGGACTGCGTGCATTTGCTGGCGCTGTCGCTGAAACGTCTATGGTAATAACAGATGTTAAAGGTTCGGGAGTTAGAAGTGGGAGGTCGCAAGCGATATCGGAAACGAGTGCGTGAGGAGTGATGACCCTTCATAAGGCGTCTAGCTAAGTTATTCACAGCGTCAGCTGAGACACCTGCCGTTGGAGGTTGTCGAGGGTATTTGGTTGTGGATCAGTGCTGGGGAAAGGTCACGTACATGGCTGATGGAACGTTTGAAGAAACGTTCATGGACCTTGTCTGCTGTCTCTGCTAACTTCTCCAGTGGTGTGTCAAGGTCTTGTACAGACAAAATTGCGGAGGTGTTGAGCGGGAGGCATTTGGTCCATAGTTTCCTCAGGATGGGATCGCCTATGTTGTTATCGCTGATCAGAGATTTCATGTGGCGGATTAACTGATAGGGGGTGCGTTCACCCAACTTGACACCGGAAAGCAGCTGTTGTAGTTTGGCTCCGTCTCAAGCTGAAGTACGCTTTAAAAGTGCGGCCTTCAATTTATCGTATGAAGATTCGTCTGGCGTGGGGTCCAGTATATCAATTAACTCTGGAACGATGTCAGTGGGCAATTGTGTAGCCACGTAAAAGAACATGGTGGCCTGGGAAATAATCTTAGGGAAACGAAAAAATGCTTCTACTTGAGTGAACCAAACGCAAGCAATTTAAGATTAGTAGCGATTTCGGAAAGTAAATTAGTGTCTAAATCAGAAATCA